GAGGAGGATGGAGCTGCCGGTGCGGGATGGCTGGTTCCGCGAGACGTGCAGCCTGTGGCCCGGCCAGGCCATGTCCCTGCAGGTGGAGGAGGTGCTGCACCACAGCAAGAGCCCTTTCCAGGAGATCCTGGTGTTCCGGAGGTGAGGGGGGCCCTGCCCAGCCTATGGGTTGTCACACTGCTGTGTATGTACCTGTGTGCATCCTGTCTCCACATGGCAGCTCCTGTCACTGTGCCACATATAATGCATATACATGGCCAGCGGAGCCCCTGACAGGTGTCCAGTCACATTGCTCTGATGGTATGATGCTGCAGTCCCTGTATTTGTATACTTTGCCCATACCAGTAACATACATGTGTCATCAGAGGTTTTTTTTCAGGATATGCTATGACTGTGTGCACTAACAATATGCTGACTTGGCGTACAGTCACCTATGGGGAGCACTGGGCCTTATTAAACACCATCAGGTTTTTGAAAGTGAATGTCTCTCTACCCCGATTGGCCCCTAAAGAGGCCAATCACAGACCAGTATGGAGGGGGCGGGACCACACTTGACTCTAACAAAAAAGTCAAGTCACTTGTAACGGCCTCTATCTCTGGATATACAGACTTTTTGGGCACAAGGTTTTCTCTGCATGTGTTCCTTTTTTATTGTTTGTGCCCCTCTGACTTGTTCAGTCATTACAGGTTTATTTTTACATCTGGGTTTTGTCATATTTGCTGAGTTTTTATTTTCAAGCGATTGACCCATCAGTCCCAGCGGTCTGCATAGAGCACATCACCAACAGCCGGACCTGCTGCTAATTGACCTGTTCCCAGGAATAGCTTGTACTGCGTTATGGTCTGCATGTGCTCATCAGGTTTCCTCCTCCTGCTGAGTCTGCGTTCTTTGCCGGGGTTTTGTGCATCGCAATCCGGGTTCAGTGTTTGTTCTGTCTGGGTAGCTAAAATAAGTTCTACTCACCACAATCCCGGATGACTCCTAGAACGGTCCCTTCAGCCTCTCTCCGCCTTCATCCCAGCGATGGTTTGTCCCTCGGAGTCCTAAACACTGTGTATAGGATATGATCACTTGGGACCTTAGGTGCGGGGGAGCCCCTCTGCAAGGGTTAAGATTTTATTTGCCCGGAGCTGTTCTGTAAGTCAGAATTTATTTTGTACTTGTGCAGCTTTCTGCCTTGATCCTCATACCCCCTCACCCTCCATCCCCGGCACTTTCCTCTGATGTAGGGATGTTGTTCAGTAGTCCTGTGATGTCGGGTGGTACTAGAACACTGACATTTAGCACGTGGCAAGAAGCAAATGGTCTAAACACCTTCAGTCACGGCGCCCTTTAAAAGTCTGCAAAATCCCGAGGCACCCCAGTCTAAAATGTAAACAATAATATGTATTTCCCATCAACCTATTTGAGATAGGGGTCCGGAATGGATTTTAAGGGGACCTCCATGCAATAAAACAAAAATGTTGAGCTCCTTCCTTCCCATTGGGGACATCCCCCCCACCCTATCAGGAGCACCCCCATCCTTATCAAACCGTGCCAGAAGTCGCTGTGGTTGGGAGGCTGCCTCAGTCTACAGGAAACACGGACAATAAGGTGAAAGTTTCTCCCACCCTCTAGACCAGGGGCAGCCAAACTCCGGCCCTCCAGCTGTGGTGGAACTACAAATCCCATGAGGCATTGCAAGGTTCTCACAGGCACGGACATGA